GTAGCAGGAACGTCGGTTGTAGTCCTAGTTGGCACGCAGCTGTTGTCTCCGTTGTGTCGTTGGTCATCGGGCTCCTCATCTCCAAGCTGAAAGTGAACCTGAAAACAGAGGAACTAAACTGATGTAATAATTGAATAAAAAAAATGTACTTACTTTGGTGCTTTGGTGACAGGAACACGAACACCTCTCGCCCATGATACTGTTTACGTGGACTGGACCAGATGGCTCAAAGTTGTCGAAAGACTGATCCAGCTGTCGCCCTAACTTGGTGTGTTCGCTGCATCTCTCTCTTAGTTGTACCTGAAAGATACAATGAAAAATACAAGGATGCAACTTGGTACTGCATTTTCCTTTTTATTACAGCCATTATTGTTTCAGACAGTTTTTTAAAATTTCAAAGATTGTATCATATAGAGCAATACATTGCATACATTTCTGAAAGAATCTGTTCAGTGACCTTTCATGAGCACCTACTTTAAGGCCAGGGTGCATGTTGGGAAATTTTCTGCAAACCTTAATTCAGTCACATGTTATTTTTCAAAAATTCAGTGAAAAAATCAGAAAATTTTCAGAAATTTTTTTCACTGAATTTTCTTGTTTTTTATACACTTTATCAAAACATTCTTCTCACAAGTCTTTTCTAGGCACATAAGTGCACTCTTTGTACAAACTTGGAAGATGTTGACAATGTTGGGAAGGAGTAATTCTTGTTTGAAAAATAACATGTGACTCAATTGAGGAATGCAGAAAATTTCCCAACATGCACCCTGTCCTTAAGGTATGCATTTTCAAAAAGCTTTACAGTACATTGGCCATATATTGCTATTCTTGGACTCTTGTTTTCAACGATGTAGATTGGTGAATTTTATTTATTCCCTGTTAAGGTGCTATGGAAGTTAACAGGAAATGACAAAACAAAAAATGTCAAAACCATGCTGGATTTTGAATATTTTATGAACAAAGATAACAGAGTTCTGTTTGGACCTCCAGTCAGTGAAACTAGTTCCACATATCATTTACATGACCGGGAACAAAATGAAAATGGTCAGAATGACCATAAACATGATGAAATAACCTTTTCAGCCCTCTGAAAATGTGACTGAAAATAGCTTAGAGTAGGTGCTCAGGAAAGGTCAATGAACAGAATATTTTGATTTTTTCAGAAAATGTGTCTAATATATTGCTCTAAATGATACAATCTTTGAAATTTGAAAAAATCGTCTGAAACAATAATGGATGCAGTTAAAAAGAAAATAGATCGATTTTAAATTCATTTTTTTCATTTTTTTTCTTTTTCTAAGAATGATATGAAATTCTTTTAAATTGTATCATTTAGAGCAATATATTGGGCACATTTTCTGAAAAAATCAAAAGATTCTGTTCAGTGACCTTTCCTGAGCACCTACTCTTAGCTATTTTTCAGTCACATTTTCAGAGGGCTGAAAAGGTTATTTCATCATGTTTATGGTCATTCTGACCATTTCCATTGGGTTCCCAATCATGTAAATGATAGGTGGAACTAGTTAAACTGACTGGAGGTCCAAACAGAACTCTGTTATCTTGGTTCAAAAGATTTTCAAAATTCAGCATGGTTTTGACATTTTTTGTTTTGTCATTTCCTGTTAACTTCCATAGCACCTTAAGGGTAATTTTCCACCCCGAGACCTTAAAATATACAAAAGTTAGATCTTGCACAAATGTTTCTATTTTTCATAAACTGTTGCAATATGGGCATCTCATTGCTTATCTTTTGAATTCAAAGTACTAATAAATATAAATTTGAATCGGACTGACGAATGAAAACACAAGTACAAGTTTGTGCAACTTATATCAAAAGCTCTCTAATACCCATACAAATCAAGGTTATTCTTTCCAAACAACATTTTCCCCATGCTATTTTCTGGAACAAAATAAAGTATGAAGACATGTGTGTATTTCCTTGCTTTTTTCGAGAAAGTATCATAACATTGTCTTCTCTACATGTAAGTAAACCTAGTAAGTGGTCCATGAAAATCCAGTGTTATTGAGAAACCTGGAGTAGAAATTTGGAAAATTGAAAAGGTGGCCATTTTGAATGATCTTTCATAATATTTCAGCATTTCATGGAGTTGCCAATTACCTGCTACCAGGTTTACTAAAGAAGACATTGCAAGGATACTTTCCTGAAAAAAGCAAGGAAATACACACAAAAAGTCATGCCTTCGTACTTTAGTACTTTTTCCAAAATGTTGTTTGGAAAGAATAACCTAACCATAGAAAATATCCGTACCATTGTCGTTGTACTGCATAACACTACCATTCGTACTTTTGTAGTTTTTGTTTTTACTATTCCTTAGTTTTCTTTGTCTGGAACCACCGCATGCTTTTATACTGTAGTTTATAACTTTTGTTTCGTCCCATACTGGTACTTTTCCCTCATACTTTGTTTTTCCACTTCTTACAATGTGGCTAAGGTTGTCCACTTATGAAATCATCCAGATCGAGCATTTGCTGGCATAATAATCCGGGCTCTGCTTTTTCATTTTGTCTACAACAACGGCAAATAACAGCAATTTTTATGATATACTGTGTTATTTTCGTTTTTACGTATCGGCATTTTTCAACTTTTTCAAATTTCTTTGTTCTTATTTCGTATACTGTATAATGAATTCTCAAAGGGATCTAACCACGTGATCAGACGTAAGGTGGTCTTTTGAGATTGACCAATGAACACCGCCGAGATATTGCTGGTTTCCTAATCATGTTCGAATTTCACGAAGCTAAAATGCATGCGAGTGCGAATATTGCGTTCTATTTATACAACGTTTCAATCACATAAACATTACTGAAAATACCTACATAAAAACTCATTCATTCTTCGTGGATAAAGTTAAAGTTCAATAAAGTTACGTTTTTGAGGCAAAGTAACGTGTTTTTAAAGCAAAGTAAGTAAAGTAATGCCTTGGTCACATTTGCTCTGATTTTCACTACGGCGCCCAGCCGATTGAGTATTTTGTTCAAATTTGAATACAATATTGAACAAAACACTCAATCGGCCGGGCGCCGGCCGATGGATCGCAGCAAATGTGACCCAGGCATTAGTAACGTGTTTTGAAAATGCCTCCATAAAAATGCATTCATTCTTCAAAAAAAGTTAAAGTTCAATTAAGTTACGTTTTTGAGGCAAAGTAACATGTTTTTAAAATGCCTACATAAAAATCCCTTCATTCTTCGTGGAGAAAAGTTAAAGTCTAACAAGGTTACGTTTTAAAGGCAAAGTAACGTGTTTTGAAAATGCCAACATCAAATTCATCCATTCTTCGTGGAGAAAAGTTAAGTCCAATAAAGTTACGTTTTAATGGCAAAGTTACGTGTTTTGGAAATACCTACATAAAATGCATTCATTCTTCGTGGAGAAAAGTTAAAGTCCAATAAAGTTACGTTTTTAAAGCAAAGTAACGTGTTTTGAAAATGCCTACATAAAAATGCATGCATTCTTTGTGGAGAAAAGTTAAAGTGCAATAAAGTTACGCTTTTATGGCACTAACGTGTTTTGAAAATACCTACATAAAAATTCATTCATTCTTCGTGGAGAAAAGTTAAAGTCCAATAGTTACCGTAACGTCGGTTTTGAATATGCAAACATAAAAAAGCATTTATTCTTAGCGGAGACAAGTCAAAGTCCAATAAAGTAACGTGATAAATGCAAAGTAACGTGATTTAAAAATGCAAACGTATAAAAGTAGATTACTCTTCACGAAAAATGACTTAGTCCAAGTAGCATTTTTCCGAAAGGATTATCTGACCATTTCTAACAAGTCTTCTTCTCATAAATTGTCTTAAGTTGCGATCTGCGCAAGGGCGAACGTAATACCCGGAACGTTAGCAAACTTGAAATTTTTTCTGACGATGTGTCTCACCCCCTCTGGACTTTATGTCCAGAGCTGAATATTTCAGCACATGTTGATGACTGGTAAGTAAAACCATGGGCTTTCAATTAGCAATCTATCCTAATTCCTAACGTAACATATTTTCTATAGTTTAGTGAATTACGGTCACGAACCGTTCGGAAACAACAGTTAAAACGAAGATTGTCCGCGTCCGTTTTGATTGCCCTGACAAGAAATGAAACCAACGGGGTTTTCTCATTTGCATATTTAGGTCACCTTATACCGCGCTATGGGGTCTATGGGTAGGCCTAAGGGGGGGGGGGGTGAGACCCCGGGGGTGAGACTGACTGACAGAAAACACAATCGCTTACTCACTTCGAGAGCCATGTTAGATTTTCAATTTTATCAAATCCACATAGCTTTCGCAGTAAGTGAACAATCGCCACTTCAAGTACATTTCCCTGTTTATTCTGTTCGTATTAACCCTTATTTACATATCACATATTTAAGTTAATCAATTATGCAGCTAATGATGTGAACTTATCCCGTTCCCGGACTATAGTCCTGCACTGATCGCATTCATTTGCCTGTACGATTACAACTTGGGAGAATTATCTACGCCCCTTACACTTAAGATACCTACCTCAATGCATTATACAACTCAAGATGTAACTTCTAATATATTGGAACCGCCGATTGTCTGGGTATATCGGTAGAACGAGAACATTTTCTCTTTTTCATCGAGAGAGATTCCATCACTTTTCAAAATGGCGGTTGGATTTAAATGGGGAATCCCCCGTTTGGCTGTCCCGGATGTAGCCCGGAAGTACCAATATGGAGGAATTTGACGGTTGAAAAAGGTTAAATGTTACACGCAAATATTGCGATCAAAAACGAAAATGTCTTCGTTCTGCCGATAAACCCAGACAATTGTGGATTCAACTACACGAAAAGAATGCTTAATTACCAAGGAATCTATTGAAGTAGGTATCTGAAGTGTAAGATCAGTAAAAAATTCTCCCATGTTGTAATCGTACAGGCAAATGTATGGGCTCCGTACAGGACCATAGTCCGGGAACGGGATAAATGTGAACGGATTGCAAAGCCATAGAGTAAAATAACCGCAGTCGATGCAAACGCAATGCAGACGCAAATCTTGCATCGTTCTAGACGACCGCGTTGGATTGTTGACCCAGATTCTCCTACCAATACCCCATGCTTTGGCATCACTAAGCGTTTTTGGAATTATATCCGATCCAAGCGTAAGGATACATCTGGAATCAGTGTTCTTCAAAATCAAGATGGTTCAGAAACCACTGACGCTGCTGAAAAGGCTGATATATTAAACCGCCAATACAGCAGTGTATTTACCAATGAAAACCCAACACTTCCCCCCATGGAGCCTAGTAATATCCCCACAATGCCTAGGATTAATATTACTAATAATGGCATTATCAAGCTCCTCCAAACCCTTATCCCCTCCAAAGCTGCAGGCCCTGATCTTATCCCCACGCGCGTTCTCAAGGAGTCGGCCAATGAAATAGCACCATATTTAAGGATCATATTCCAACAATCCCTAGATACTGGCAGCGTACCTCTTGATTGGAAACATGCGAATGTGGCTGCAATATTCAAAAAGGGTAAGAGAGACGTGGCATCCAACTACCGGCCTGTCTCGTTAACATCTGTCCCTTGTAAAATTTTAGAACACATAATCTTCCACAGTGTAATGTCCCACCTGGAAACACATAATATACTTGTGGACATTCAACATGGATTTAGGAGATACCGATCATGTGAAACTCAACTTATTAATACGGTAGAGTCCATTGCTCACTCAGTCGATAATAACGAGCAAGTGGATCTCCTTATATTAGATTTTTCCAAGGCGTTTGATACCGTGCCTCACAATCGCCTACTCCAGAAACTCGATCATTACGGTATCAGAGATGAAACTTTAAAATGGGTCAAATCTTGGCTGACAGAGAGGACCCAACAAGTAATTCTTGAAGGTCAGTCAAGTAAAAGCTGCCCAGTCAAATCTGGCGTGCCTCAGGGAACTGTCCTCGGGCCACTCTGTTTCCTGCTCTTCATTAACGACATGAACAATAACGTGACCCAGGATACAAACCTTAAACTCTTTGCAGATGACAGCTTACTCTATAGGCCTATAAACAGTATTAACGACTCTGCTCAACTACAATACGACCTCAATACCCTTGTGAAATGGGCAGAAACCTGGCAAATGTCATTTCACCCCTCTAAATGCTTCATCCTGCGCATTCACAGGAAGAAAACCCCTATTATATGTGATTATACAATGCTAGGACAAAATCTCAAAACGGTAGATAGCCATCCATATTTAGGAGTACACCTCAATAGCTCACTAACATGGAATACCCACATCACCCATGCCACCACGAAAGCTAATAAAGCACTTGGATTCATAAGAAGAAACCTCAACAATTGCCCTGAGAAAGTAAAAGCACAATCATACATAGCCCTTGTGCGACCCCATCTTGAATATGCCAGTGGGGTTTGGGACCCTTATAGGGCAAATCATTCTCACATGATAGAACAGGTGCAACGAAGAGCAGCACGCTTCGTTACTCGATGCTACTCTAGGGAGCCTGGATGTGTCACCAATGCACTAAAACAACTAGAGTGGGATAGCCTGGCACATAGGAGATATATTGCAAGGCTAACACTTTTCCACAAGGCAATGAATGGAAAAGCAGCCATTAACATCCCTCCCTACATCAGACCCCAAAACCAATTCGTCACAACAAGGAACTCTCATCCCCTCAAATTCATAATCCCCAATACCAGGACAGACTTATATAAATATAGTTTCATACCAAGAACAATAGTGGAATGGAATAAATTACCTGGGAACATTTTAGACTCACAAGTGCCAACATTCAAACATTCTGTGATTAACCATCTTAGAAATATATAGATAACTGCAGGTCAGTTCATGTATATAAAAGGACAATTTTTTAGTAAACTTATTTTACCACTAGCTCTAGTCAACTAATGCATTTTACATTAACATTAACTATTTTAGTAACTTTTTACACTTATAGATAATTTAATATTAATATTTTATATAAATGTATGTATTGAAATTTGCATTGTGGGCAAATATGCCTGTTGCATCTTAAATAAATAGAAATAGAAATGGACTTGCATTATTGGGCCAACACGATCCTCAGAGACCCAGAGGGTGCATGAATGCACCTAGCGTCGTTCCGTCTTACACCTTGTTCCGTCTTACCCCGCTCTCCCCTACATGTTATGTTAGATCTGGTCTCATTGATCCAAAAGCAAAAGCTCTTTATAAAGGAGGAGAGAAAATCTGAGAAATCATGTACAAAAGTTTCCGACGACTAACGTCACTTTTAAAGCGATGTGAGCTGTTTCCACGTATGTATTCTCTGTGATATATATTTCAACATAATGGTTATACTAATTATACTAACATTTTATTCAATTTATCGATATAACATGCAATTTCAATTCTGTTATGATATTTTACTGTATTATCGCCCAATCGAATCATGAAGAAGAATCTGGTGCCAAGAATCTTCTTCCTGGAAGATGAAACCACAGCAGGGGCGTAGGAAGGTGTAAATTCAACACTACGCCAAAAAAGAAACATTTCAAATCTTCTATATCAAAACGCCTATTTTATGCTTGTAAAATGTCATTTTATGGCAATACCTTTCTAATGTACTACAGTGGGGATCATAAAGAATTGCAAAAGCTATGAAAATTACATGCTGTCGCACATGTAATAAATTCTTACCTCAGTGTATACAGTGCTCTATTTTCTCCGTCTGAGTAAGTCCAAATATAGTGGAATTTGTGTCCCTAATGACAAATAAGAACTTCAAAAGTTGAAGTGGATATTCACATGTTATGCCGACTCTTCAAATGTTGAGGTGATTTTGTCGCCCGATTGCGCCGGAACGGAGGATTGGCTCCCAGAATGCAACATGACACGTGCCAGCTTTCAAAATGCTGTTCCGCCATTTTGAAACCTGTCATGAGTAAATACGATAACTGATGTTGCATTCTGGGAGTCAACCTTCCTTGGATAACAAACATGGCGATTCATGAAAACATTCATTCGATTTGGTAGGGATTTATCCATTATTTGCAGGTATGAAGCTTTGTATTCATTTATTGTGGTACTTTAGTGAACGGCAATTAATTTTTATACCGCTTGGGAGAGTTTGAGACACGAAACTTGGAAATTAGCTCATTGTGACAACTTGTGAATGTTGAGTTTTATTTTTGTCCCCCACTTTAGAGTCCATTTCACTGCTTCATTTCGTCAGTAGAACGGCAAAAATAAGAAATTGGGAGACCATTGTGCAATAATATATGGAAAAGTATATTCATAATGTACATGAATGACATTTGTATATTTCAGATTTTTTAGTTTTATGTGCAATAAGCCTGTGCCGTCTTGTAATTTGAAGAATTTCAGCCATGTTAATCTTATTGAAAATAACATGCAATATAAGGGGCCACACACTTTATAAGCCAAACTAGAAGCAATCCAAGATATACAAATGTCATTCATGTACATTATGAATATTCTTTTCCATATATTATTGCACAATGGTCTCCCAATTTCTTATTTTTGCCGTTCTACTGACGAAATGAAGCAGTGAAATGGACTCTAAATGTTCGAATGCAGTTCGAATGCATATAAAATCACCATGGAAAGGAATGTACTAAAAACCCTTCGAACCTTCGACCCTACGACCTACGACTTACAGGGTGTCAAGAATTTTTGGAATATATTTTTATAAAAACCCTGTGACCTTCAATTTCTCAGTCCATATGAAGTTGCTGGAAATATTACTATGTTTATAGAACTTCAGAATCGGTCCCTGGGGAGTGTAAGATATTTGTTGTATTCAAGCACATAATTTTGAATGTGAACGTTTCTTACCTCCTCAGTCACAGTCAGAGAGAATGTTCTGGCGAAAGGAGATTCTGGGATTCCAAATTCAAGTTGGGAAACCGGAATGTGTTACCTTTTTTAATCCCCGAATCTCTCCGAAATTAGCTCATCTTGGTGACTGTAAATTGCACAGGTGTATTCAATGGAGTCTTGTCATATTCAATCAGCCTCAATTTTAAAGTGTATATTTTATTTTTAACGTGATTTCATCGTTTTTTGTCGACTGGTAAGCATCCGCTGGGCAAATAGCAAGATGGATGACTTTTGACCTGACCTTGACCGATGGTGATCACGTCATCAATATTACCAAGATGGCGGTTTCAAAATTTTCTAAAATCGCTTCAAATAATATTATGTTAATTCCTAGCGAGTAAAGATATCTCTTAGTTTGCTATTTCACAATAAGATAACGAAATGTGTAAGGAATTCGTTTTTATCAATTAAAACATCACATCGACATGTGGTATTCGTAAACTAATCGATGAAGATAACAAAAACTGGGGGGTTTTGCAATGACATCACTTCTCGAAAGAAATTCTCAACGAGCTGCATAGTATTAGCAACCGAGGAATAAACAATTACCGATCGCTAAAGATCAGTCCCTTGCAAAATCCTGAGTAATTACTTATTTCTACGGTTCATTACGAATCATTTAATGATTATCTTACGAATGAATTCTTCTTACATTAGTAATTGACATCTCATACAATATGTCTAATTTAATTACATATGATGCTGTCCCCAGCTCCGATTTCGGTGATCGGCTAGTAAAAAAGGTTTGAGGGTATCATTTTGTTCTAGACACTCGCTAGAGTAAATTATCCTAACTTGAGTAAAAATGTGTGGTAAGTGAATTCGCTATGGGCAGTTAGAGAGGCGCCATCTATTCATTTTCAAACAGGGGGTAGGGGTATAAAATAATTTTTTATCACATTTTAATAGTAAAATGACATTGAAATACTAATAAAATCTTATCAAAAACATTATTTACAATCAGTATGAATTTTTTTGTGTGGATTAGGGAGAAAATAAGGGCATATTTTGAAATTCACTACAGGGGCACCACCTATTTTCGTACTTCTACCACGTGTAATAAGTTATTTTAGATTCGTTAAGGTACGAAATGTACTGAAAAAATTCACTCTAAAGGACCTATATATGTTCATACCACATACTTAAAATTGGATCAATAGCTTTTGTACCTGGGGAGAAAAAAAGTATTGAAATTTAAAATTGTGGCATCATGCAGGATAGGGGTGACCATATCTCACATGATTAAAGCTGGACTACGCTCCGAAACGCAATCTTGGGTTGTTTCGGGGGTGAACTTTATCATTTTGAGCTTAATGAAAGATTATAGAATGATGAACAAATGGGGCAAATCTTGTGTAGAAATACTTACGATAAATGTGTCATTTCAAAGATTTTTCATTGAATTTGCTTCGATCGGTGCCGGCGATATGATTTGGGAAAGGTTTCTAAATGAAGAACGTGACGTCACTTCCGAATCATAGCATTCAAAATAAGTAGCGTTTAATTATTTCCTCCTTTCATAATAATACGGTGGTGTAGCGGGTAGAATCCTCGCTGAGCACGCGGGAGGCCCGGGTTCGAATCCCGCACTAGCCTTTTTATTTTTTTAACTAAATGATTGTTCTTTGGTATTACGCAGAAAAAAACAATTTTTATTTACATAAACTTTATATTAGAGCTTGAAAATGTAAAAACAATATATGTCAACATATTGCGTTTTGGAGCGATGAGCAGGTTTAACTTCCAAAATATGGAGCATATGTATCTCAAATGTACTCAAAATGGTGTATGTACTCTTGCTTTGTCATAATATTACTAATAAGAAGTAAAAAATGATTGTACATTTTAAAAAATATTAATTCTCATTTTGGCATCTGACGTTCCAGGGGTGACCATATCTCACCTTAATAACTTCCAAAATATGGAGCATTTGTACCTCAAATGTGCTCAAAATGGTGTATGTACTCTTGCTTTGTCATAATATTACTAATAAGAAGTAGAAAAATGATTGTACAATTTAAAAAATATTAATTCTCATTTTGGCTTCAGAAATTCCAGGGTTGACCATATCTCACCTTAATAACTTCCAAAATATGGAGCATTTGTATCTCAAATATGCTCAAAATGGTGTATATAGTCTTGCCTTGTCATAATATTACTAATAAGATGTAGAGAAATGATTGTACATTTTAAAAATATTAATTTTCATTTTAGTTTCCGACGTTCCAGGGATGACCACTGACCATATCTCACCTTAATAACTTCCAAAATATGTAACATATGTATCTCAAATGTACTCAAAATGGTGTATAGTCTTGTCTTGTCATAATATTACTAATAAGATGTAGGAAAATGATTGCACATTTTTAAAAATATTAATTCTCATTTTGGTTTCTGACGTCCCAGGAGTGACCATATCTCACCTTAATAACTTCCAAAATATGGAGCATATGTATCTCAAATGTACTCAAAATGGTGTATGTACTCTGGCTTTGTCATAATATTATACTAATAAGAAGATTATATATTTGAATTGAAATTTTCATTTTAGCTTCCGAATCTGACATCCCAGGGGCAACTATATCTCACCTTGATATAACTCTCACGATATGCAATAATGCATCTCAAATGCCAGGCCCGTAGCCAGGATTTGCCAAGGGGGGGGGTTCAGTTTTCAAAGATTTCCAGGGGGGGTTCACATTTGACAATTTTGGCCCAAATTTGGCTAAAATCACTTGAGAAGTGCTCAAAATGGTGAAAAACTGCATGATTTTGAAAGAATTTTTGGCCAGGGGGGGGGTTCGCCCGAACCCTGCGAACCCCCCCTGGCTACGGGCCTGAATGCGTGCCCAAAATGGTATAAATATAGTCTTGTTTTGTCATATTTATTGAGATTCATGAAATCAGAAGTTCAGAATTAATGGATTGGACTGTCTCCCCTGCAGGCTTCAGCTACATATAGTCCAGAGACATTAAGATCTACTTTCAAATATTTGCATCTTCTCCCCAAACACTCCTTATATTACAGGAACAATGGACGATAAGTCTTTTGCATGCCTTGGATGCAACAACTTTTGTATACTGGTAGCCTATCAGTAGTGTGAGTAGCCTAGCCTCATTTACCAAAATTGGCCCCTTAACCCCAAATCTGACCCGAAATTTTGAAAATATCCTGAAAAATTAGGCCTAAAAGGCGCATTTATGCCCAAACATACAACAAACTGTCCCACTGCTAAATTACAAGGGCGATAAGTCGCTTCTAATCCTGATTGACATTCTCTAGTTTGCATGGTTTGTCATGTTGTGCTATATTGTTATTGCTCAATAGATGTCTCCCTCTCTCACACTATAATCTGAGAACAGGAAGTTAGTTAATAATACGGTGATTTTACCTGAAAATTGCCGGTTTTTAAGA